CAGAGAAACAACACATATATCTAATGTATCTACAGTGATCTGATTGTGAAAAGGGGGCTAAAAATCTGCACTGGAGCCTCTTTAAACCCTAGTGTGGGCAATATCCATTTGTAAGAGATAGGTTCTTTTCTCTCTTCCTGTACAAAGGCAAATTGAAAATGAATCTCAGTCCTGTGTAAAGGACCACAAGCTTTGGAACTGTTGAAAGAAAACATAAGGAAACAATTCATAGCCATACACACAGCTAAAGACATCCTCAAAAGGGTTCCAATAGCAGAGGAAGTAATAGCAAAAGCAACAAATGGAACTACATCAAATTAAAATTTCCTGCTCTACAAGGAAACAGAGAATGAAAAGGCAGTCTACAGAATGGGGAAAAATCTTTATTAAGTACTCTCCTAACATATGTTTAAACCTAGCATACACAAAGAACTAAAACAAAAAACGAAAAACCTCAACACCTCCAACAAAATAAGAATGAAAAAGTCCAGTCAACCACTGGTCAAATAAATTGAACAGATACATCTAAAACAGAAGTACAAATACTAATAAGAAAATTATATATACAACAGCTTAAAGCATTAGAGCATTGCAAATCAAAACTATACTGAAAGCTAATCTCATGCTAGACTTAGAATTGTTATCATCAAGAACACAAAATATTTACTTACACACATAAATGCTGCCAAGAAAACAGGGAAAGGGAAATCCTTCTGTATTGCTGCTGGGGATATGTAGAGTCACCATGGAAGTCACTGTGGAAGGTCCTTACAAAACTAAGAATGGAACTACTGTTTAATCCAGATATACTGCATTTGATAAGGCCACGTGAGCTAAAGGCAGTACACTGTAGGCAGCACTGACACACCCATGTCTACTGCAGGGCATGAGTCACACAGTAGTCAAGATCTGGAAACAACCTCCATGCCTGTGGAGAAATAGATAAATAAAATGGGATGTAGAGCACTATTCTGCTATAAAGAAGAAAACCTTCTGTCATTTACATGAAATGAAATGGATGCATATGGCAATCATCAGCTTTAGAAAACCCAAAAAGACAAATGTTACATCTTCTCCTTAATATGTAGATTCTGAAAAAGATGGCAAGAATGTAGAAGAAAGAGTATTACTAGAAAAGAGAAAAAGAGCCAGCCAGATAGCTCAGTGAACTAAAGTGCTAGCTGAGGTAGGCACAGGGACCGGGGTTTGATCCTGGGGCATGCTGAGGGGGTGATTGATCCTGGGGCATGCTGAGGGGGTGATTGAGACTGGATGTAGTGGCACATGCGTGTGATCTCAGAGCTTGGGAGGCTGAAAACAGGAGGATCACTACAGGTCCGATTTGAGTAGTGAGACCAAGAAGACCATATAGTAAAAGAAAGAAAAAGAAAAAAAGGAAGGAAGGAAGGAAGGAAGGAAGGAAGGAAGGAAGGAAGGAAGGAAGGGAGAAAGAGCGCTGGGCCTAGCCACTGGCCCACTTCGGTGGGGTGCAGCTAGAAGCAGCAGCTAGCCCGGCAGACAGATGGGTGCCAGGTGAGGCTGCATGACGAGCGTGGTAGAACTAGATCCAGTGAGCAGTGAATGTTCACCTTGACTAGCTCTATATGTTGTTATCTGAGATCTAAACATCAATATCTAAGCAACGTGGAATACAAAAACCATGGTTCAATACCTCTCATCTTGGTCTCCTAAATGTGTACTGCTCCTAATGTCTTATAAATTATTATTACTCTCTCTTTAAAATACATTTTTAAAAAAGCAAAGATGATAAGAAAAATGGTTTATTAAGAGCAAGCATTAATAGGCAATTATTTGTCCAATCTTGCAAAGCTATGTCTTCTAATCTGAACAACAGATTTGATGATAGAAATAGGTAATATAGCAGGCATTGTTAATTTTGCTATTCTTGTTTTGAAGATCTGTAACATATCTATTGTATGCTACCCTGCATTCTGTCTTTGTTTCGCTATTTGTTTCTGCTATTGTTTTCACTCTTCAAAATAAAATAAAATAAAATAAAATGTAAAAAAGAAGAGAAGAAGAATTAGGGTGAGAGGTAGAGGGAAGGGAGAGGGAAGTGAGCACGAGCAGACTGTGCAGTACACACTGCAGCCAGCTCAGTGTGAAGGCTACAGGAGAGGGAGGGACGAGGGTGACGGGCAGTGACATGGATCAGCATACTCCCGGAGGATGTACCACTCTGCCAAATTAAATCCCTAAATCTGTACTACCAATAAAAGGATGGGAAAAGATAAAGAAACTAGCTTTTCTGCAGGCAACAAGGTCACAGTCCTGTTGTGTGTGGTTTTCAGCAAGCTGATGACACAGTTTAGACCAAAAACAACGGCCTTAGAAAAGATGGGGTTGGGGCCGGGGAGATGGCTCAGTAGAATAAGCACTTTCCTGGTAAGCTCAGGGACCTGAGTTCAACTCCTGGTTCTGCCAAAAAAAAAGAAAAGATGGGATTTTAGATGGTTCACCTTCCTTAGTAAACTGCAAAGGGATGTTTGAGATATTTCAAAAGAAATAGCTCAGCATACTCCAAAGAATAATGGTAATAATCCATCCCAAATTGCATCATTTTTCATGCTTTCCTGTAAATGAAGAGACTGAGGACTTCCTCAAGAGAACTGTGTCGCAGAGGAGGGAAGACCTGGAGCAGTGAAGACACTGAGTCTGGGTTTCCGAGACAGAGAGTGACCCGTGGTCTCCACTCACGCCATCAAATGAATTCACACTCACAATGGCCATCATGAGTGCTTGAACCCAGGCTGAGTCCAGGCGCAGAGGGAAGTCACCTGAGAATTTCTGAATACTAAAGTGGGATGCCCAGGCATAGGGCACTTCTTTAGAGTTGGATGAGTCTTAATCAGTGCAATTGTTAATAATACCAACACTTGGAAGGCCGAGGCAGGAGGACCACAAATTGGAGCCCAGTGTGGGCAACTTGAGAAGGATTTTTTTTTTCCAGAACCAGGAAATTAACTCAGGCCCTTGTGCTTGCCAGGCAAGTGCTTACTCTATTGAGTTATCTCCGCAGCTCTTGAGAAGTTTGTAAGACCCTGTCTGAGAGAAAAAGACAGAGACAGATAGACTGGCAACAGAGACACAGAGTAGGAGAGAGAAAGGGAGAGAGACAGACAGAGAGAGAGACAGAGACAGAGACAGAGACAGGAGGGGGGAGAGAGAGAGAGAGAGGGAAAGAGAGAGAGAGAGAGAGAGAGAGAGAGAGAGAGAGAGAGAAAGAAAGAGAGAGACAGAGACAGAGACAGAGAGAGACAGAGAGAGACAGAGAGAGACAGAGACAGAGACAGAGAGACAGAGACAGAGACAGAGACAGAGACAGGAGGGTGGAGAGAGAGAGAGAGGGAGAGAGAGAGAGAGAGAGAGA